TAAGACTTATAAGACCAGGCTGTTTTAGACAGTTGGACAGCCAGACCTGGGATCAAAACCTAAGTTCTTTTGCTGACTGGACTTCTGACCTCAGATAAATTTTTTAAACCTCCCTAAATCCCAATTTCCTCATTTATCAAACGGAGCTGGAATGACAAACTTCATAGAAAGAACATGGCCCAGGGTGAGCACTCAGCAAATGTCAGTTCTCCTCTCCTCCTCCCTCCACAGGATCCTCAATCCAGCAGCTCATCCACTGTCTGGTTAAACATTGGGATGATTAGTGAAGGCCTTAGTAGTCAAAGAAAAGTAACTCAAGGCACGTGTAGATATTGATAATACAAAAATAAATTCATTGTCACAGGCAAAGAAGACCATAACAGAAATTGTTGTCATGCACGTACTATTATAGAGTAGCCAAGAGAGTACTGTTTTTGTTTTTGTTTGTGAGGAAGCTAACATCTGTTACCAACCTTTCTCTTTTTGCTTGAGGAAGACTGGCCTTGAGCTAACATCTGTGCCAATCTTCCTCCAGTTTGCATGTGGGACACTGACACAGCATGGCTTGATGAGCAGTGTGTAGGTCCAGACCAGGGATCTTAACTTGCAAACTCTGGGCCACCAAAGTGGAGCACACCAACTTAAACACTATGTCACCAGGCTGCCCTGAAAGTAGTTCTTTCGAAAAATCCATGACGTTGAGTCTTTTTTTAAAGAGACAGGTCACATCAAAACTTCCTGCCTTGAGCTTATTCTCTGCCATCTAATAAACAAGGCTCATTGTTTCCAAACATAAAATACTCAAAATACACCAAAAAGGTATGAAATGTTTCCAAACTATAGTGAGGCTGAGACTCCTGAGTGTGGGTACCTTAGCAGCTGTCATGTCCCACATCGGCCAGGAGTGAGAGTCACCAGGATCATCCAGCTTGTCAGTGTGACAAGAGAACTTAACTTCTGACTCCTTTACATCCACTCTGCTGGCTCACTTGGGTGAGGGTGGGGTGGGGGAGCTCATGGACCAACACTAGCAAGGGATCGGCCTGAACGGGAGGTGAGGGGCTGCACTCACTGCGGATGTGGGTAAGAGAGAAGCATAAGCTCAGAGGAAGCACAGATGCTGTTGTCAGGAGGCATGCATAGGACCGCTACCAGAAAAATTAAGCAATTATCAAATTTGATGCTAAAAATATTTAAATGAACAGCATGATTTAGAATATGTCTTCAAATTTCAACTTAATGCTCAAGAATTGTGTGCCAAGAACTATGGTATATATGTGACTCCAGCTCTTGGCACAACCCTGCAGAACTGGGGCTGTTATTGCATATGTGGGTGGTTATTAAATGCTTTATAATGATTATGTTAAAGGTCATATTCCTCATACATATAACTTCACTTATTATTATGAGTTAGATGTGTACATGAGTAGACAATGGTCTCCTTCCATTAAATGCAAACTGGCTGAAATTACTGTTTAAGTTGCCAGGTTGTAAGAGAAAAGAGATCAAATTAATGAGGGTGAAGTTGTATAATCAGTTTATAAAACAAATCATGTCGAGGTCAAGGCTGACATCATCAACTCCCACACATCTAAGTAAACTTAAAAATGTGACTCTTCTCTTTTTTCCCCACCACCTCTGCTCTAATTCAAGCTGTTTCTTATTTCTCTTCTATTCACATGCAGTTGATGAATTATTTATCTTGGCAAACACCAATTTGATCATGTCACCCATCTCAGAAACCTGTGAGAGCTTCCCACTGCTTGAGGGACAGAGGCCCAAGTCCCCAGCAAGGCATTCACGGCTCTCCGAAATCTGGCCCACCCTTCTAATTCAGTGGTTCTCAACCACTAGCGGAGCTTTAAAAGATAAACAGGCTTATGTCTCATGCTCCAGAAATTCTATTTATTAGTTCTGGGGTAAGATCCAGGGACTTTTATTTTTAAAAATATCTATGGATGACTCTTGTTCACTGCCAGGGTTCAACCACTGGTGTAATTTTCCCACCTATTATTTCACCCAACATGAACTAAACTTTCTGTTCCAGCCAGTAACGCTTTTGCTTTTGTTTGTGTGTTTCTAGTCCTCTGTTCATGCTGTTAATCCAACCTGGCATATCATTTCCTCTCCTGGCTCTTTATGTAAATCTTCACCATTCCTCTAAGACTATGTGAAATCCCACCACTATCTGTACCACCAGGGTGAATCACAATGATATTGCCATTCTGATAATCCTAAGAGCATTTGTTACCTTCACGAAGTATATTATGGCAATTAATAACGTATTGTTTGCACTGTGTTACTTTCATACTTCCCTCTCTATATTTCAGGCTCCTGGAGGGAAAGCAAACGTTTCATAATATCTTTGGTTCTCATTCCTCAGCCTTGGCATTTACGACAGTACTAAGCATGAAGTAGACATTCACTAATGTGCTCAAAGCTTACGATGACTGAACAAATTAAATTCCCTAAAATTTATCAACTGTTTTTCTTATAGCCAGACAACATAAACTGTCAACCTCCAGGGTTGTTTATGCATACACTGACATGTTTTGCATGGGAAGCATTACTATGCCCATGTAGAAATGAGAGTCACTTAGTCAGAAAAACTGAGGTGATGTCAAATATAGGATTGATACCTATAGAAGTGTTTTTCCTATGTATAGAAGTATTTTCCATGTTTACATATTCAATTCTCATAAGTTGACAGAATAACAAAGTTGTAATAGTAAAACAGTTCCTAATCTGTCAATACCTGACTTAAAAATGACCCACCTTGGGGGCGGGCTCCGAGACCAAGTGGTTAAAGTCCCACAGGCTCCCTCCGGTGCCCCAAGGTTCACGGGCTGAGACCCTGGGTGTGGACCTATTCTCCACTCATCAGCCATGATGTGGAGGCATCCCAAGTACAAAGTGGAGGAAAACTAGCACAGATGTTAGCTCAGAGCTAATTTTCTTCAAGCAAAAAAGAAAAAAAAGAGGACTGGCAATGGATGTTAGCTCAGGGTGAATCTTCCTCACACACACAAAAAATCATTAGAAGAGCACATGTCCCCTTGACATAATTTAGAACACATGAGTATAAGTAACCTAAAAGTAAATGCCTCTTAGGCAAATATTGAACACTAAAAAGCTACTGGTGTGAGAGTGTCCACTATATTAGCCACTGCCAGAACCCCAGCTCAGGACCTCCTATGGCTCATGCTGCCCAGAAAGTTACTGTTCTGCTTCTAGGGCATGGGAGATATGCTTCCATATCCACAGCTAGAATTTCTCTACAAAACAGTGGTATCCATGGTGGCCGCCTGTAGTTACAGCAGCAATGGGACTTATGAGTTAAACGGTCTTGGGAGGGCTGGCGGAGAACCTAACCACTATTTACAACATTGCTTTTGTGGAAAAATGCTTTCTGCATTCCAAACAACAGAATTAGACATGAACTGTTGGAATACAGTTTATTTCTTAGGGAACTGACTGTATCTTATTAATTACACTATGGTCAGCACTTTCCTAGGATAAGATGGCATCATGGAGGTCTGCCAGGAGTGCATAACAGGAATGAGTAGTTGCCATGCATATGGACTGTATGTGGCTATAAGGATGAAAGACAGAGGAGATGATGAGAGAAAGATCCAGCCACATTCTTAATTTATTAAACAAATATTTACTGAGCATTATTAAAGCCTATGCTGAATGCTGTGCGAGACAAAAATAAGTCAGCCAAGATCTTTGATTTTATAGTCCTTACAACCTAGGATGGGAGATAAGACAGACATACACACAAGTAACAAAGCTGCATGGTAAAATGTGCTATAATAGTAATAAAAATAAAATATTAGTTGAAGCCAGGAGAGAGAGGGAGAGCTAGTGCTTCTCGCTGGAGCTTCTAGGGAGAGGTTCACAGAGGAGTCTGCACCTGGGCTGAGCCTTGAGGGCTTGCACAAGGTTTCAACAGGCAGAGGAAACAGCAAGTGGGGAGCAGGGGACATCATAGAAAAATATCAAGAAAAACAGTACAAGTCAAGACACAGAGATGTGAAGAACACTGAGAGTTCAGAGAATAGGAAAGAGTCCAGTTGGCTAAAGTAGGGGGTACTTTTAGGAGCTTGGGAGAGGGCTTTGAATGCTAGGCAAAGGAGCATAGATTCCATCCAACAGTGAATGGAGAGCCATTAAAGAGCTTTAAAATTCTTGAAGTGGTTCTACATGCAGATCTATCTGGCAGCAGAATACAGGATGGAAGAATAATAGTTGAAGTTGGTTGAGATGACGTTCAAAACTAGGTTTTTAAATAAATAAACATTTCTCTTTTTTCTTTTTTGAGGAAGATTAGCCCTGAGCTAACTGCTGCCAATCCTCCTCTTTTTGCTGAGGAAGACTGGCCCTGAGCTAACATCCATGCCCATCTTCCTCTACTTTATATATGGGATGTCTACCACAGCACAGCTTTTGCCAAGCGGTGCCATGTCCACACCCGGGATCCGAACTGGCGAAGCCCGGGCCACCGAGAAGCAGAACGTGTGCACTTAACCTCTGCGCCACCGGGCCGGCCCTAAACAGTTAAACATTTAGGGTTCAAGTGCTAGTTAATTACTGAGTATCTCCCTTTAATGACTGAGAACATATAAATCATTTAGAATAGTCATACAAAGACTTAAAAAACTGAAAAAAAAGAACATTAGCTACAATGGAAAAACTATTTTAAAAACATTAAGCGTAGCACATAGTCGGGACTTGATAGAAAATAAAGGATGATTTTGAGGTGTTAGTCTCACTTTAAAAATATCACATTTAAACATTATATTTTTGACAAGCAGATGAAAATTTCATAACAAATCATCGTTCCACTATTTTCCAAGAGCAGTGATTCAATACACAAGGTGACCATAAGATATCCTGAGAAATCTGAGAGCTGACAAAGCATCAAAGGCAGTGCACTTAATTCTTTACATTTTAAATCGATCTTGAGCTGATGCTAAGATGGATACGCGCAGACTTACTTGAAGTGATCTGACTTAGTAAATGTCTTCTAAACTTCAGATTTTCAGTACTGGATGAGACATGGCATTCATCTTTATCTGAAAACAAATGTAACAGAAGTAGTCAAGTTGAAAGAATTGATAAGTAGCTTATAGAAGCCGATTACATGATTATACATTAAAAGACCATAAAAGAGTTATACGAAGTCCTATAAAATTGACATTACTTCTACTATGTATAATTTAAGAACCTAAGATAAAAATTTCAAGCCATGCTCAAAGATTTCCAAAATAGGAGATATAATACATCCCCTTCATATATTTAGACGTCAATCTCCTAAAATTCTGGAGAACATAGTATATTTAAGCCTGACTTACACTGAATTAAAATTTAGCCAATAATCAAGCCCTATTCACTACTACATCATGGAGAACAGGGAGAGATGAAGTTGAATAAGAGAGAGTTCCTGTACTCAAGGAACCCACAAACCCCAGGAGAGACAGACAAACATGAATAACTCCATATCAGTGCTGATATGGTAAGTGGTACAAGGTGCTACGGGATTTTGCAAAGGGTTAATTACTACAGGGAAAATATGGGAAGGCTCTGTGTTATGGACAGAATTAAGTCTCCCCCAAAATTCATGTGTTGAAGCCCTAATCCCAGTACCTCAGAATGTGACTGTATTTGGAGATAAGGCCCTGAAAGAGGTGATTAAGTTAAAATGAGGCCGCTAGGGTGGGCCTTAACTTAATATGCCTGGTGTCCTAATATGAAGAGATTAGGACACACAGAGAGACACCAGAGATGTGTGCACGCCATGGAAAGACACAGTGGAAAGTGAGAACACAACAAGAAAGCGCACATCTGCAAGCCAAGGAGAGAAGTCTCAGAAGAAATCAAACCTGCTGACACTTGTTCTTGGACTTCTGCCTTCCAAAACTGTGAGCAAATAAATTTATGTTGTTTAAGCCCCCTAGTCTGTGGTGTTTTGTTATGCAATCCTAGCGAAGTAACATACTCTGTAGAGGCGAAATTTAAATAGAGTTGTAAAGGAGATACAATTTTAACAATCAGATAAAGGTAAGGTTTAGAAATAAACAACATTCCAGGAAGAAACAAAAATGACTTTCTTTTAGGCATAGAGGCCACAATGTACAGTGCGAGCTCAGAACTAGTCAATACACTTCCATAATAAGAGTATAGTTTGCGGAGAAGGAAGTGAAGAGGTGAAGCAGGAAGCCGGGGAGGCAGGGAGGGAAGCAAGGAGGAGAGGAGGAAGAGGGACCAGGAGACTGACAGACCAACAGACAGAGAAGGACTGCGATCTGGAGTTGAGGTCATACTGTAAAAGGGGTTGAATACTACATTCAATATATAGGGTTTTATTTTACATATAAAAGGAGCCATCAAGGGTTTTCAGCAGAATACCTTTCAAATCTGTATCTTGGAAAAATGACTCTGGTTTTGCAGTATGCATTACTGTGAGAAGACTCAGAAGGCAATGAGACCTGTTTCGTTACTGAAATAGTCAAGATAGGAAGAAACCAGGGCAAATGCAATGGAAATAAAAAGTGGAAACTTCAATGAAGATGTGCTTGAAAATGAGAACCAGAATAACCACCCCATCAGTTACACGAGACTGAGAAATGGAACAATTACCATCATTCAGTTATAGTTACAGTGGCAGAATGTCTCGGGCCTCAGCAGACCTTGCTCTTCAATCACAATCATGTGTTGTTTGCATCAACTGTTACTTCAGTAAGTCAACCAATCCAAAGAGTCACCTCACTTCTGATATCTAACCCTAGAACTTCAGAGCCCTGCCTATACCCAACAAAAACCCTAAACTCATTTCCTCCACAGAGGCACCATGTCAGAGTCATCTGTGTGCCCTCTCTTGCTGCAGCAAGTCAACAGAACAGTTTGCTTATCTCCTAACATTATTTATTTGAGAAGGTGGCTTTCGACAAAATATTGATGTCCATCAATGGAGTCAAGGAAGAAGAGCAACAGGAGGGAATACCCTGTTCTGCCTTTTCAGGACAGAGGGAGGACTAAGAAGAACTTAACAGTTACTGGTGACCCTAGAAAGCAATTTCAGGAAGGCAATGACAGAGAACAAAAACTCCCAGCAACTGAGAGATCAAAGAACAAGGAGAAGAAGTGGAAGTAACTAGTAAATGTTACTCTTTTAAGAAGCCTGGCATTGTATAAAAGTGAAGCTGAATCTTTAACAAGATTTTTTGTTATTTCTATTGTTTCATTTTTAATGCTAGTAAAAGGAAGACATAAGAGTGATAAATAATGGAGCAAATTCAAGAGAAGATGGGGACAAGAACTCTGTTATGCCATGTTAACATGTTAAGCCATGTTAAAGAGAGAAACAGTTCTTTCTCTACATTTAGAAATGAAGGAAAGGTTGAGTGACGAATATAAATAAAAATTGTGTGTAAGGGGGTCAAGTTGAGGGAGTTAAGGTCCAATGGCAAGACCATCTATTCAAATAGAGAGGGAGAAGGAGGGAGGGAAGGAAAGAGAGAGGAGAAGACAGTATTTGAATGAATACCTAAAGAAGAGAAAAAACATTGCTGGAGAAGAGGAGAAAGGAAAAGAGAGGCGGCTTTCAGTATTTGAGATCATGCAATGATTCTGGCTAATAGAACTGAGCAAGTTAAAAAATAATGACTTCTGAGTATCAGAAACTCAAAAACATGAATAAGGAGAAAAAGATCATAAGCACGTAGTGTGGCATGGAGAGGACAGTCTCAAGTCTGATACCGACATGACTGAGGAAGCCGGCATGGTGTCCTGGAAGTCAACCAATAACATGAATTGGAAAGGGGAGATGACAGACTAAGATTTGGAAGAGAAGGAACTGATGAATAAAGGTGACACATGGATCACTGACTGACAGTGAAGAGCAAAAGAACACAGCAACCTTCCTTTAAAATCCAGAGTTAACAAAATTCAATACTTTTTCTTGAGATGGCTGTGAGAAAAGTGGCACTGTCTACGAAAACCAGGTTTACATATCTAGGGAGGAGAATGAAGAAGAGTTCTGGGAAAATACCAAAGTTATAAAAACTGTTTCAAAATAGAGCAGGATGTCCAGATGACATGAGGAAGTGGAGGTAGGTCAGCAGTGAAACTGTGGGTTCCACCTGAACTGGGTAGGTAGGGCTCCTTGGAAAAGGAGAGCACAATAAAAGCAGGGCTTCACCTGGGTTGGTAATTAACAAAACAGCATTCTTTCTCTTTCTCTCTGCCTTATCTGTTTAGTAAGATAGGGCAAAAGGCCAGCCACATATGTCACCACTCTCTCACTCTCTCTTAACTTGTTCCCCCAAACGCACATACATTCTCCTCTCTTCCATACAGTAAACTCAACAGAGCCAGTTAAGTCAATCCAATTTGAATTGGTAGGAAGACCAGACCCAATTTCCCCATAAATAAAGTTGACATTTTTATTCTGAGTTATGTCTACTTCTCAAACGGTTCAGATGTTGTAAGAAGAAAAACGTGGTTTAATTAATTGGTCCTCTCAAACTCCAACAAAAGATGTGAATAAATGGAAATCAATCTGAAGGAAACTATATGGAAAGTGGATTGAGTGTAGAACTTGTCAGCCTCAGTGAAGTTTTAAATTTCCTAGAAACATTCAAAGACCTAATACTGAGACCCAATTCAGTTGAAGACTACTATTAGAGGTGAGGAGATTTCTAATTATGGATTCAACGCTTTTAAAAGATTAAGCACTACTCAAAATTGTTACTTCTTTTTGTGTCACTATGGTAAGCTGTATTTTTCAAGGAATTTGTCCATTTCATATAAGCTGTCAAACGTATTGACATAAAGTTGTTCGTAATATTTTCTTATCCTTTAGATATTTCCTGGATCTACAGTAATGTTTCCTTTTCATTCTTATATCACTAATTTGAGCTTTCTCTTTTTTTCTTATTAGGGATTTATCAACTTTACTAATCATATCAAAGAAACAACTTTTGACTTTGTTATTTTCTCTATTTTATGTCATCTTCGTTTATCATCAGTTTGCTTCCAGTTTATTTGAATTTAATTTGCACTTCTTTTTGTAGCTTTTTGAGATGAAAGATTAGATCACTGATTTTCAAGCTTGCTAAGCATACGCATTTAAAGCTATACAGTTCTCTCTAAACACTACTTTAATTGTGTGTCGTAAGTTTTGACACTGATTCAATTCAAAATATTTTGTCATTTTTGTTGTATTTCTATGACCCATGGGTTATTTAGAAGTGTGTTGCTTATTTTCCAAGCAAATTGAGGATTTTTTAATCTTTCTGTTATTTATTTCTAATTTAATTCCACTGTGGAATATATAGTGTATGATTTCAATCCTTTGAAATCTGTTGAGACTTGCTTTTTGGCTCGGCACATATTCTATTCTCACATAAGTTCCACGTACACTTGAAAAGATGTGCATTCTGCAGTCGTTGGGAATAATGTTCTATAAATAGCAATAGGTCAAGTTGGTTAAAAGTATTAGTTAAATATTCTATAACCTTACAGGTTTTTAAAACTCTGCTTGCTACATTAGTGGTTGAAAGAAGATTGTTAAATTCTCCAACTGTGATGTTGATTTGTCTACTTCTCCTTTGTGTCAATTTTACCTTTATATATTTTGAAGTTATATTGTTAGGAACATATAAATTTAGAACTATTTCGTCTTATTATTGAATTAACCCTTTTATCATTATAAAATGCTCCCTTTATCACTCATAATGCTTCTTGCATTAAAGCCTACTTTATCTGATATGAATATATCAGATTTTAGTGTTTGCACAGCATACCTTTTCTTTTCTCCCCATATCCTTTTACGAATGTATGTTTTGTGCAAACTATATATAGTTAGGTCTTTTTTCTAATCTAGTCCAAAAAAGTTTTTGGCTTTTAACTGGAGGACTAAGTCCATTTACATGTAATCAATTACTGATATTTAAGAACATCTTCCTGTTATTGGTTTTCTATTCATTCCATCTGTTTTTTCTTCTTTTCTTCTTCTCCTTTTGATTAATTCATTTTTTATTATTCCATTTTATCTCCTGTTTGTTAGCTTTAT